AGGGAGTGGTGGGGTGGTGGATCTGCCCCTCAGCCCCGGTGCCCTGCTGGGTGCATCTGCCCCTCAGCCCCGGTGCCCTGCTGGGGCTGTGTAGGGAGTGGTGGGGGTGGTGCATCTGCCCCTCAGCCCCGGTGCCCTGCTGGGTGCATCTGCCCCTCAGCCCTGGTGCCCTGCTGGGGTGCTTGGCAGACAGCCTGCTCACTTCCTTCCTTGGCATCTCTCCTGTCAGCCGACTGCTTTGTTGGGATGGGTTACAGGGAGGACCATCTAAGTGGCAGGGCAGGGTGAAGGGTGGTACGCTTGAGAGGCGCCTGGGAGAGTGGAGGGCCTGAGAGGGGTGTCTGTGGGTGGGACAGTCCTGGGTGTGTTCTGCAGACATAAGCCACCTGAGCACATAGGAGGCGGGTCCCCCCAAACATCGATTGTCTCCTTTCTCCCCTCACTGTCCTCCACTCCCATGGTCGTGTGAGGCCCTCCTTCCTTCCATTTCCACTTCCGTTCCTGCTTAGACCACAGTGCTGTTCTTTCTGCCCTGGTGTGGCCCTGGACAGACATACCAGGCAATGCTTAGGGTGATCACCAAGAATCAGATTCCTCCAATTCCTTTCAGGATCAGTTGTTGGAAGCCAGAGTGGATAAAACAGGGCTCTTGTGGGGCGGCCAGGGCCTCTCATGTGTGGTGGGGGCCTGACTCTTTGGCCTTGTCCTGAATTTTACGCTACCTCAGTCTGAGTCCCCTCATGACTGGCTGGCCTCTCTGTCTGTGCTCCTCTGGGCCTCTTTATGTGATCCCCAAGGTGTGGGATTTAGATGTTTACATGGAAGGACCTGGGGGCAGTGGGAGACTACCTAGGTGTGCTGGATAGCTTTAGCATCGACTTGACACACCTGGGTTGAGGGAGCCTCAGTCAGGGAATTGCCTCTATTGGACTGGCCTGTGGCCATGTCTGAGGGGCATCTTCTTGATGAGTGATGTGGGAGGGCCCAGCCCACTGTGGGTGGTGCCACCCCTGGGCAGGTGGGCCTGTGTTGCAA